GATATTGGGTGTAGTATAATCCTCTCCTCCCTAGGATATTAAGAACAATATCACGGGAGGGGTGTACAACCCCTGCAATATTGGGAGTAATATCATCCTCTCCCCCTGAATATAAGAAACAATATCACAGGAGGATGTACACCCCCTGTGATATTGGGAGTCCTATCATTTCTTCTCCCTCTGGATATTCGGAACAATATCACAGTGGGTGTGTACACCCCGTGCGATATTGTCACTAGTATCATCGTCTCCCTCCCAGGATATAGGGAACAATATCACAAGGGAGTGTGGACCACCTGCAATATTGGGAGTAATATCTTCCTCTCCCCTGCTGGCTATTAGGAACAATGTCACAGAAGGGGTGTACAACCCCTGCTCTATTGGGAGTGATACCGTCCTCTTCATCCCTGGATATTAGGAACAATATCACTAGGGAGTGTACAACTCCTGCAATATTGAGACTAATATCATCCTCTCACCCCCTGGATATTAGGAATCATATTACAGAGGTGGTGTACACCCACTGCGAAATCGGAAGAAATATCATCCCCTCCACCTTTGGAAGTTAGGGATAATAGCACGGGGGAGGTCTACGCCCCTTGCGATGTTGGGAGTGATATCATCCTCTCCCACCCAGGATATAAGGAACAAGATGACGGAGTGGATGTACACCCACTGCTATACTTCCGATAATGTCATGCTCTACCTCCTGGTTCTTAGGAATAACATCATAGAGGGGTGTACACTTTCTTCGATATTGGGAGTAATATCATCCTCTCCCAGCCGGATATCAGGAACAAGTCTATTAATTATTAATATTAATAAATATAATAAAAATTAATAATAATTATTGAAATTAATAAGCACAAAAACATAGTAAAATTAATACTGGTTAAAAATATTAACGATTAGTATTAATAATTAATAGTAATATGACTATTAATAAAATAATAATATCGGCAATTAATGTTACTGAAATCAATACTAAGAGATGTTGGTAATAAAATAATAATTAATATTAAGAACTAATAATATTGTGAAATAACATTAATATTAATAATTAATTTGAAGCCTGCATAATCATATATGTAACATAATTATCCATAATTAATAATTATATCCTATTAATTAATAGTATCATTGATAATTATTAAAATCAATCATTGGTGTTTAATAATTAATCATATTATGACTCCTAATATCGCAGGGGGTGTATACCTACCTGTGATGTCGTTCCTAATATCCAGGAACGGAGAGCATGATATTAGTTTTAATATCGCAGTAAGTGCACACTCACCCTGTGACACTGATCCTAATATCTAGGGGGGTAGAGTATGACATGACTCCCAACATAGCAATGAATGGACAGCCACCTGGTGATATTGCTCCTAATATTCACGGAGGAAGCGTATGATATTACTCCCGAAATCGCAGGGAAGTTAGAGCTCTTCTCTGATATTGTTCCTAGTATCCGGAGGGGGAGAGGAGGCTAATAATTCCAGTATCACGGGCTGTGTTCACCCGCCCTGTGATGTTGTTATTAATATGCTGGAAGGGAGAGGATGATATGACTCCCCATAGAGCAGGAGGCGTAAACCCAGCGTGGGATATTGTTCCTAATATCCACGGAAGGGAGAGGCTGATATTACTCCCAATATAGCAGGCGGTGAACATCCACCCTGTGATATTCTTCATAATATCTCAAGGCCGAAAGGATGATATTACTCCCAGTATCGCAGACACTGTACACCCTCGTGTGATACTCTTCCTGATATCCGGAGGGGGAGAAGGTGGTAATTATCGCAGGAGGTGAACACTCATTCTGTGATATCGTTACTAATTTGCAGGGAAAGAGAGGACAATTTCATTCCCAATATTGCAGAAGATGTACAAGCCTCCCTGTGATATGGTCCTTAATATTCCAAGGCAGACAAGATGATGTTACCCCGAATATCGCAGAAAGTGTACACCCGTCAGTGATGACGTTCCCATGATCCAGGAAGGAAGAGGATGATATTACTTTCAATATCGCAGGGGGGGTACATGTCCCCGGTGATACTGTTCCAAATTTCCACCTGGGAAAGGATGATATTACTCACAATATTACACCCACCCCGCGAGGTGGGGACCAATAGCCACCCCCTCTCCCCCGCTTGGCTATTGGGAGCCACCTCGCGGGGGAGGGGGATGAGGCACCTCCCGCGAGGTGGGGACCAATAGCCACCCCCTCTCCCCACCTTGGCTATTGGGAGCCACCTTGCCGGGGGGAGGGGGTGAGGCACCCCCCTCGAGGTGAGGACCAGCCATGGTGGACTCTCAGCCTGTTTATGATTTTATCTGTAATATCATCTCCCTGTCTGGAAATTATGAAGTCTTTCACTGACGAATGTACACCCTCAGTGTGTGCGCCCTCAGAGGGTGTACACCCATCTGTTTTGGGAGTAATATCATGCTCTTCGTCTTGCACTTTCTTTGATATCTGGAGTCATGTAATCCTCTCCTGTTTTGAATGGCAAGAACAATATCTCAGGGGGGATGTACACCCTCTGCAGTAGTAGGAATAATGCTATGATTAGTTATTAAACATCAATGATCGATTTTAATAATTATCAATGATACTATTAATTAATAAGATACTATTATTAATTATAAATAATTATTTTAAGTATATGATTATGCACATTTAACGTTAATTATTAATATTAATATTTAAAAATAATTTTTAATATCAATTAATTTTTTACCGAGATCACTTAGTGTTGATTTAAGTAACTTTAATTCCTGATATTAGTATTTCATTAATAGTGATATTATTATTAACTATTAATACTTATGTTTAACATTTTAACCAATGTTACTTTTTACTATCTTCATTGTGATTATTAATATCGATGATTACTATTAATTTTTATTATATTTATTAATATTAATAATTAATAGACTTGTTCCTGATATCTGGCGAGGAGGGAATGATATTACTCCCAATATCGAAGAAAGTGTACACTCCTCTATTATGTTATTTCTAATAGCCAGGGGGTAGAGGATGACAATATTGAAACTATCCCAGTGGATGTACATCCTTTCGGTCATCTTGTTCCTTGTATCGTGGGTGGGAGAGGATGATGTGACTCCCAATATCGCAGGGGGCGTATACCTCCCCCGTGATATTGTCCCTAACATCCAAAGGAGGAGAGGATGATATTTCTTCCAATTTCGCAGGTGGTGTATACCACCCCTGTGATACTGTTCCTAATATTCAGGGGGCGAGAGGATGATATCAGTCTCAATATTGCAGGAGGTGTACACTCCCTGGTGATATTGTTCCTAATATCTGGGGACGGAGAGGAGGATATCACTCCCAATAAAGCAGGAGGTGTACACCCCTTCTGTGACATTGTTCCCAATAGCCAGCGGGGGAGAGGAAGATATTACCCCCGATATCATAGGGGGTATACACCCCGTTGTGATATTGTTCCTTATATCCTGGGAGGGAGACGATGATAGCAGTTGCAATATCGCAGGGGGTGTACACACCCACGGTGATATTGTTCCGAATATCCAGAGGGAGAGAAAATGATATGACTCCCAATATCATAGGGGGTGTACATCCTCCTGTGATATTGTTTCTTCTATTCAAGGGGGAGAGGATGATATTACACCCAACATCGCAGGGGTTGTACACACCTCCTGCCATATTGTTCCTAATATGCTGAAGGGGAGAACATAATATTACTCTCAATATCACAGGGGGTGTACACCTCCTTTGTAATATTTTTCTTAATATCCATGATGGGAGAGGATGATAAGAATCCCAATATCGCAAGAAGTGTACAGCCGCCTGTGATATAGTTCCTAACATCTAGGTGGGGAGAGGATGATATTACTGCCCATATCACACGAGTTGTAGAACCCCTTCGATATTTTGCCTGCAATCCTGAGGGGAGAGGATGATATTGCTCCCAATATCAAAGAAGGTGTACACCCCCCTGGGACACTATGCCCAATATTCCCCCTGGGGAATTCTGAGGGGACCTCCTGTGGGAAGCTGGCCTGTGCTGACAGCATAGTCACGATGAGGCCCAGAGGGCTGTGCATGGGAAGGCGGTGAAGGAGGCCTCTGCCCCTCGACCCCAACCGTGGACTTTGGCCTCTCAGGTACTACCTGGCCCTTTCCTTGCTCCTGGGCAGGCGGAGTGGGCGGCAGGCTTGACCAAGAGAGATAAAGGCCTCTTCTGGGAGGCCCGTCCCCTGGGTCACAGGTGAGCCCCTGAGCGGTGAGCAGCGTCCCTCTGGGCCTGACACCTGGCACCTCCCTGTCTGGCTGGGACTTGGGAGGCCACAGGGACCGCTTCTGACCACCAGGTGTCGCCAGCACTGGGCGGGGCCTCCCAGGTAGCACCAGGCCTGCGGTGGGGGATATGGGGCGGGGTCTTAGGGCTGCCCCAGCTCCTCATGTTGTTCTAAGGCCCCCAAGATCTCGGTCCCTGGACTGGAGCGCCCTGGCCCCTCAGCCCATAAGGAGCACTGACACGGTGCCGGTGTGATGCTAGGAGGGGCGGGCGCCTGCTGGGCAGAGGGGTGGAGACACCCCAGGTCAGAGTCTGCCAGTCCCAGCTCTCCAGCCCTGCAGGGCTGGGGACAGAGGGAGCACTGGTCCCAGCACCTCCCCTCCAGACAGACCTGACCCAGCAAGGCCTCAGTCTGGCTGGCTGGGACCCGGCCCCACTGCACCTGCCCTGAGCTGGGGTTTCCCTGTCTGTGAAGCAGATGGTAAGACACCGGCCCTACCCCACCCTTCCTGGGTGATGTGAAGATTCAAGGTGTCTCGGGACTCCAGGAAGGAGTTGCTCAGTGCGGGCTGGCATCCTGGGCAGGCTTCCTAGAGGAGGCGCCGGGATTTGGGTTGGATCTTGCAATGTGGATTCAATGTGAGGATGATGCTGTCTTCAGAAATGTCCTTCTCCTGACTGTTTTTTTTGTTAAATGCAACTTGACACTTAGCTGTCAAGACTCAGCTTTGGTGTCACCTCCTCCAGGAGAGCCCCCCTGACTACAATCCCCCTTCTTTACCCAGAGGCCACCATTGCCCACTCATGTGTCAGCCTCCCTGGCTGAGACTGAGTTCTTGAGGGTGGGGCCTGGCCAGCTTGGGAGCTGGGTTGTATCTGCGAACCTTGCCGGCTCCTCCAGCTGGGTGCAGAGCTCCAGGGAGGCCACTGGGCCATTCCTAAGAAAGGCTGGAACCCAGGCCTCTGGGGTCTGGGTGGAGATCCCACTCCAAGGGGGCCGGGAACACCCCAAGCCCTGCCCCTCCCCACCCACCATCAGGTCGTAGAAGATGATGTCACCGAGCACCAGCTACACCTTCACGTAGTAGAGGGTCTCCTCGTCGAACTCCAGCGGCGAGTTGCAGAGCGATAAACGGCCTTGAGGTAGAAGTGCTCCGCCAGCTTGCCATGGCCCAGCCGGTGGTGCAGGGCGGCCAGCCGGTGGTAGGCCACGCGCTCGTTTAGCCGGTCCCCTGGGGTGCAGGCCAAAGGGGCAGGTGTGAGGATGTGCCTCCCTGGGGCAGGGAGGGCACAAGCCCTTCAGGAGCAGGTATACAGACCCCAGGCAGCACACCTGGCTTGCCTCCAGGCACCTGCGGTCACCTGGGCAGCTCTGGCCAGTCCCTTCCAGGTTCCCAGACTCACTTTCCCATCTGCAAAGCAGAACTAATAAGACCTGCCCCCGTCTACTGTGAGGCTTTGGCAAAGTCGGACTTGGATGGCCCAGCTCTGTGCCTACACATAGCCACCTGCCTTTGCTCACTGGTTTTAACCAGGGGAGCCCAAAAGCCATGCAGTCCAGGTGCTCCCGGGCACCAGGGCTCCAGGCAACCCACAGACATGACATCCGACTCCTCCTGGGTGTGTCATGATCAGAGCCCCCTACCTTGGGGAGTCACTGTGTGCCTGAGCTCCAGGTCCCCCAACAGATGCGCAAACCCACCCAGGCTGTCTCCGATGTCCTCCCCTTTTCCAGGGCGAGTGCCGTGGAGCCTGCATTCGATGCATTGCCACACAGCTGCACACCTACTGCGTACTGGACCCCGGGGCACAAGGCGCTGGGGCATGCGGCCTGCCCAGGGCTCCCTGTCTCTGGAGGAGGACAGACGACCCTGGCACAGCACCAGGGGATGCCCGGCCTTAAGGGGCAGGCTGTTGGAAGGGGAACTGGGATTTCATCAGTCAGAGAGCCGTGTGGTTGATGAGGGTGGGAAGGGCACAAGAGAAAGGGAATGTGCCACACAGCCTGGCACATACAGGGACCAACGAGATGCTTGGCATGTCTCGAAGGCAGGGGGCTCACTGAGTGGCCCTTGTGGTCAGCGGCAGGAAGAGGCAGAGGAAGCCGAGTTCAGCCAGGCAGGGAGCTCTCCACTGTGTGAGAGACCTCAGGCTGTGCCCCACAGCCGGACGGGGAAGCCAGTTGGGCAGATCTGCCTGCCTGGACAGGAGACCAGGAAAATCCCGCAGCTGTTTCAGCTCCTGCCCTGCAGACCTGGAGGCTGGGCTCTGGCAAAGTGTGGGTCCTGGCAGGGCGGGGGCTCAGGGGACTTACCCAGAGTGATGCTGAGTGCTAGGGCCATGTGGGCAACCTCCAAGCCCTCCTGGGGCTCCTCCAGCGTGGACAGCAGTGCCACCAGTTTGTTGCACAGCCGCAGCTCCGCCTTGCGGTTGCCCGTAGTCACTGCCAGGGGCAGGGCCTGGTCCTACCACACAGGCAGGTGGGATCAGGCTTCCCGCAGCACCCACCTTGCCCAGTACCCTCCTCAGAGCTCGAACATGTGCTTGGAGCTTCCTACGCCCCAGCTACCCCTGGACCTCGACACAGCTCTGTGCTCTGGAATAACGCACGGTTCAGACACCCAAGTTGGGGACTGAAGAGTCACCTGAGGCCCATCCAGCTACACCCGGCAGCCTCAGACCAGCCTCTCCCACCTGGGCACCGGGGGTCTGACTGCGGGGAGCCAGCACTCCTCTCTGCTCTAAAAACACATTTATCCGTGCCCAGGGCTGAGCCACACCGTGAGCTCAAAGGGAGAAGCCGTCCCCACTTTGGGGTGCAGGCAGACCTGGGCCCTGGCCCTGGGCCTCACACTGACATGCTGTGTGTCCTTTGACATGTCCCTGTGCCTCTCTAAGCCTCAGTTTCCTCATCTGGAAGATGGGGACAGGACTTCCCACTCATGGTTGCTTGAGATCATCAGGTACAAGGGTAGAGCCATTGTCATGTCCAGGCCCCGAGCGTTTGTCCCGGGCAGGGGGCACGGTCAATATCATTCCCGGTGAGACCACTGGGCAAGGGTAGAGCCATTGCCATGTCCAGGCCCCAAGCGTTTGTCCAGGCCCCAAGCGTTTGTCCCGGGCAGGGGGCACAGTCAATATCATTCCCAGTGAGACCACTGGGAAACTAAGCATGGGCATGGGTGGCCCTGCCTCCAGGTGGGAGGCCTCTGCCCTGCCACACCTGTGCCTCAGCCCTCCAGGTGCCCCCCTGAGGCCCACCCACATCAGCCCACAGGCCAGCTCACCCGGTAGAAGGACACGGCTTTCTCCTGCTCCCAGGCCCCATTGAAGAAGATGTCTCCAGCTGCCTCAAACAGCTCCAGCTCCAGGTTGGGGTCGCCTGTGTACAGGGCCACATTCTGTGCCACCTGAAAGGAAGCAGAAGTTCCCTCAAGACCCACACCTGGCGAGGTGGCCACACCTACCTTCGCCAGCCTCCTTCCTCTCACACACTGCAGGTACACCTGAGCATTTTTCAGACCCTGTGCATTAGGGCTGCCCCCATCACTAGCATGAGGACAATGAACTGATGCACCTGAGTGCCAGGAGGTGACTGAGCAGCTGCAGCCCAGGAGCCTAACACCTGTGAATCCTACCACCAGGGCTAGCCCTAGCCCACTCCCCCTGTACTCAAACCAGTCTCCATGGCCCCCAGATTGCTGGGAGCCCATCCCCTGGCTCCCTTCTGCGTTGCCACATCCCTGCCACAGCTCAGGGCCGCACATCAACAGTGTTTGTGGGTAGGCCTGGTCCCCTCTTGGCCATGAGCTCTTGATCCCTCTCCTCAGCTCAAGGAGGTATACAGCAGGTGCTCAATAATGAAAGCTTCACCAGGCTCGTGGGCTTCACAGTTTGTTCCAGATCACACTGTGTTTGGGAAAGCCTCTGAAAACAGCTGCTATGATAGATGCATTTTGTAAGGAGATGTGCCACGTGTCGCTTGGAGCAAGTTCTTCTGTGTGTTAACTGAGTGGCCACATTATTTGAGCATGTGCTGTATACCAGCTGGGCACTGTGAGGGGCCACGCCTCTGCCCTCAGGGAGAAGATGCTGGCTACTGGGGGAGGATATGAAGGAACCATTTGGAGGGAGGGAAAAGGCATACAACAGGTAGGTGCTCAGCAGTGGCTTAGGAATGAGTGGATGGATGGATGAATGGATGAGCAGATATATAGACACATGGATGGATGGATGGGTGTGTGGATAGATGGATGCTTGGATGGACGGATGGATGGATGGATGGATGGATGGATGGATGGACAGACGGATGGATGGACAGATGAATGGATGGATGGATGGGTGGATGGATGGTTGGAATGATGTGTGTATGTATGTATGTATGGGTGGGTAGATAATGTATGGATGGGTGGAGGGTAGATGATGTATGTACATATGGATGGATAGATGGGTGGATAGACGAATGTATGGATAAACAAATGGACAGATAGATGAATGGAGGGACGGATTAATAGGTAGATTGGTGGTGGTGGATGGATGAATGATGGATGGATGGACGAACAGGGGAATGGATGGGTGAAAGGATGGATGATGGAAGGATGGATGATGGAAGGATGGATGATGGAAGGATGGATGATGGAAGGATGGATGGATGATGGATGGATGGATGATGGATGGATGGATGGATGATGGATGGATGGATGGATGAATGGATGGGTGGATGGATGATGGATGGATGATGGATGGATGGATGGAAGGATGAACAGGTGAATGGATGGATGATGGAAGGATGGATGGATGAATGGATGATGGATGGATGGAAGGATGAACAGGTGAATGGATGGATGATGGAAGGATGAATGGATGGATGGATGGACGAACAGGTGAATGGATGGATAGACAGGTGAATGGATGGATGATAAAAGGATGGGTGAATAATGGATAGATGAATGGACAGATGGATGGATGATGGATGATGGATGATGGATGGATGGATGATGGATGGATGAACCTGGGAGGTGGAAGTTGCAGTGAGCCAAGATTGCGCCATTGCACTCCAGCCTAGGCAACAAGAGTGAAGCTCCATCTCAAAAAAACAAAAAAAAAAACAAACAAACAAACAAAAAAAACAAAGAAAAGAAAAGAAAAAAGAGAAAAATCAGTGTTATAAGGTTGTCCCTGGAGGATGAATCCCCACACACAAGGGTGAGTCAGTTGGATGCTTGGATGCTGTAATATCCCTTTGGACATCACCCTAACACCACCATGTCAACTCCTGAGAATACTTGCTGACCCTCAAGTTAAAAAAGACAAAGGAAGCCGGGCGAGGTGGCTCACGCCTGTAATCTCAACACTTTGAGAAGCTGAGGCAGGTGGATCACCTGAGGTCTGGAGTTTGAGACCAGCCTGACCAACGTGGAGAAACCCCATCCTTACTAAAAATACAAAATTAACTGGGCGTGGTGGTGCGTGCCTCTAACCTCAGCTACTCGGGAGCCTGAGGCAGGAGAACCACTTGAACCCGGGAGGCGGAGGTTGCAGCAAGCGGAGACCATGCCGTTGCACTCCAGCCTGGGCAAAAGAGCAAAACTCTTTCTCAAAAATATAAATAATAATAATAATAATAATAATAAATAATAAAGAAAGAAAGAAAAGACAAAGGAGAGAAACTGTCAGCCTTTCAAGGTTGGCAACAGTGAGCAGAGTGCCCAGCTGTGAGGGAAAGAACAACCACATCTGGAATCCCAGCCTGGGTGCTGTGATGCGGCGGGAAGCAAACCTGACATTCAGCAACCAATCCCAGCCTGGGTGCTGTGATGCGGCAGGAAGCAAACCTGACATTCAGGAATCGACACAGCACCTGGCACAAAGAGCCCCCAAGATATAGTAGCTAGGCTGGGCACGGTGGCTCATGCCTGTAATCCCAGCAATTTGGGAGGCCGAGGCCGGCAGATCACCTGAGGTCAGGAGTCCAAGACCAGCCTGACCAGCATGGCAAAACCCCGTCTCTACCAAAAATACAAGCATTATCGGGGTGTGGTGGTATGCCCTTGTAGTCCCAGCTACTCATGAGTCTGAGTCACAAGAATCACTTGAACCTGGGAGGCAGAGGTTGCAGTGAACTGATATCACGCCACTGTACTCCAACCTGGGCGACAGTGAGACTGTCTCAAAAGAAAAAAAAGAAAGATACAGTCGCTGCTGCCATCATTATAATTGTCTTGCAATTACTGCCACCCCCTATAGACCCACAACTCTCAAACTCATTCACACAGTAGAGTGCCAGGCACACTTTTGTGGAACATCATGAAATCTGGATAAATTAAGCAAAAAATAGCCAAGTGCTATAAATGTTTATGCTGGCTCTCCTAGCATCTACATTAGAATCTCATGGCCACAAATGCCGAAAGGCTTAAGAGATGTTAAGCAGGGACACTAAAACTGAGAAATTCTATGACCTTAACTTTTTTCTGAAACCTGCAAGAGAGACTGCCGTTTCAAGTTCAGCTGTATGATAACTCCCTGTTCAGTATAAAATCAGGCTGAGCGGGGCTATCCTATGACATTACTACTATAGTATCCTGAGTCCAGCTTGATGCCAAATCCCCAAAGCCTTGCTGTTAGCAACTGCTCAATGGAACTGAATCCTTACCTGCCTTTGATCTACAGTGGAGAGAAGTCGGCCCGAGGTCACCGGGAAGGGAGGTGGGCGGCAAAGGTGGTATTTCAGCAGCTCACAATACCCGCTCTGTGGCCAAACAAAGGCCTGACCTCCTGAGCGATGTCTGACCTTCAAACTCTGACAAACATACGTATTTACTCAGCAATTACAATTTAAACTACCCAAGGGGCAATTTAATCACTTGTATCAAAGGGAATAAATTAAAGCTTCCCTAGATCCCATAACAGCAACAAGAAATGAAAGTAGCATTTGCACTCAAAAGAAAACAAAGAAACTTCTCTTTTCACCGGTACATACCATTTCTGTTTTTCTCAGAAATCGTCTGTGTTGTAACCCAGACAGACAGTGAGAAGCAGGGGCCAACCACAAATTACAGAAGCTGTTAAATCTAATGATAAGTGGGCCGAGAGCAACATCTCAAGTTTCTTAAATGTGAAAAGGACAGAGGAAGGCCGATGCTATTCTTTAACCTGGAAGAAATTGCTATTCCGTTTTATTTTTAACATCATCCAAGACTGAAATCTGCTGGGAAAATGGAGTCACCATGTTTCACAGTTTTATAATCTAGGGGTAGCCAGTGACTTTGCTTGACAGCATTCAATAACAGAGCTATTTTGAAAAGACAAACACAGAGATAGAAATTGGAGTCATACTAAATTTCGGTGCATTTTTGGGCAAAATAAATACATATACCCTCAAATAATGAGGGTGGCAGTGTAAACTGCTAAAAAGCCCTCTCAAAACGGGCCACATTTGTTAAAGCTGAAATATACTCTATGACTTAGTCATGCCACTATGGGCATATCCTCAGCAGCAAAGAGAAAGTGTATATATCCACCAGGAGACATGGAGAAGACATCATCAATTTCATTAGAAACCTAGCCACCCTGAAACAGCTGAACATTTGATTGATTGATTGATTGATTGATTGATTGAGGCGGAGTCTTGCTCTGTCGCCCAGGCTGAAGTACAGTGGCGCAATCTCTACTCACTGCAACCTCCGCCTCCCGGATTCAAGCGATTCTCCGGCCTCAGCCTGCCAAGTAGCTGGGATTACAGGCGCCTGCCACCACACCCAGCTAATTTTTGTAATTTTAGTAGAGATGGGGTTTCACTATGTTGGTCAGGCTGGTCTTGAATTCCTGACCTCAAGTGATCCTGCCGCCTCGGCCTCCCGAAGTGCTGGGATTACAGGCATGAGCCACCGAGCCCTGCCTTTATTTTTATTTTTTGAGAGAGAGTCTTGCTCTCTCATTTAGGTTGCAATGCAGAGGCATGATTAATGCTCACTGCAACCTCCAACTCCTGGGCTGAAACACTCCTACCTCAGCCTCTGGAGTAGCTGGGGCTACAGGTGCTTACAGGCATGTGCCACCACATGTGGCAAATTTTTTTATTTTTTATTTTTTGTAGAGATGGGGTCTCGCTATGTTGCCCAGGATGCTTTTGAACTCCTGGGCTCAAGTGATTCTCTCACCTCTGCCTCCCATAGCACTGGGATTACAGGCATGGGCCACCACAACAGGCTGTACAATCGAACATTTCATCAAGAGATGAATCTCATGGAATATTAGGTGAAAGAAGCAAGACACAAACAGATACATGCTGTATGGTTTCATTTACATCAAGTTCGAAATCAGGCAAAACCAACCATGCAGACAGAAGTAAGGTGGGCCGAATAGTCTTGTTTCTTTTTTTTTTTTTTTCTCGAGATGGAGTCTCGCTCTGTCACCCAGGCTGGAGTGCAGTGACGCGATCTCAGCTCACTGCAAGCTCCGCCTCCTGGGTTCACGCCGTTTTCCAGCCTCAGCCTCCCAAGTAGCTGGGACTACAGGTGCCTGCCACCATGCCCAGCTAATTTTTTTGTAGTTTTAGTAGAGACGGGGTTTCACCATGTTAGCCAGGATGGTCTGGATCTCCTGACCTCGTGATCCGCCCACCTCGGCCTCCCAAAGCGCTGGGATTACAGGCGTGAGCCACCGCGCCGGGCCCGAATAGTCTGTTTCTTGATTGAGGTGTGGGCACTCTGCGAAACTCATGGAGTAGTACATTTACATTTTACACGTTTCAATATGTATGTCATACTTCAATAGAAACCCACATTAAAATGTTAACTCATATAGGTTTGACAGTTTGAGGATTGCGTCTTTGTTCAGAAAAACGGTTACACATTAACTATAAACTAGAGTGTTACTTCAAAAATTGAAGTGGATTTCTTCATTTCAATGCTGTATGGTTTGGCCACACTGGTTCTTCTTTGCGGCCGTCCAGTCACTTGGAGAGCTTTGTGCAGGAAAAAGCAAGGCGTCAGGGCCTCTCTGTAGGGTCAGTGCCTCGGACAACCAATGGCAGACACTGCTCAGTCTGTACTTCCTGTACTTTAAGAGGAGATATTTTCAGACACCTATTCTGTGCTGCTTTGTGTACAGCATATCGATTTCACTGTATCTACCATAGAAAGTTAGTGTAAGAGAAAAACCCTGAGGTTTCGAGATGCTAAGTAACATGCCCACGCGGGGACCTTTGGCGAGTAGGATACAAAGCTCAGATTCAACGTCAAGTCTCA